ATAATAATAATAATAATAATAATAATGATAATAATAATAATAATAATATAACAGGTTTAAAAATAGAAAACAAAAAACTAAAACACAGTTTAAAAATAATATTTCACTCTGCTCAATGGTAAAACAGCCGTAGACAAGAGTAATGTCTACCATCGCGGACTCTTAACCAATCGTTACAATTTTGTAACACCTATTCATCATTATTTTTATTTTAGGTATGAGAAGAATGTAGTCCACACTCACCTTGGGGAACTTATCATACAATGGTCCTAAGATGAAAATTTTTATTCCAAATCCAAGAGCTTTATGGAAAAACAAAAACAAAGAATATGGTTATATAAGTTTACGAAGTTAGTGTTATTTCATAAACGTTCAATTACCGTATTTGCCCTTTATTAAGCTCCATAGCGCTTAAATTAATTAATTAATTAATTAATTAATTAATTGGGTTTCAATTGTGGCGTTAATTCGAGGGGCGGCGCTTGTTGGAGGGCGACGCTAATTTTCAAAAATGTGTTCACCAATACATATTGTGTAACCAATGATTTATACACTGTTAAAACAAACATACCATTTTTCTTTTGCATAAAAGCGGCGCTTATTTGAGGGGGGCTCATAATCAGAGGCGGCGCGTAAACGAGTAAATACGGTACAATCGAGAAATGGTTCTAATAATAACGTGAAAAATCGATATTCTCACCCATGAACATGAACATAGTTGGTCCGCTCAGCCAGAGTGACGCAATAAACAACAAGCAGATGTTAAAAAAGAGCGTGTTGGTTGCTGGGTGTTGCCACAGTAATAGACTGCAAGTAATTTTGTATTAAAACCATTAGAGCCAGATATAATCACCAACGTAAAATATTACATTGATCATGCACGCGCCAGCTTCGCGCATCTACATGTACGTCACAATCCTAAGTGACAAGTATATATCTATACATTTATCATATGCGCGACGAAATATTCATTGACATATGAATACATTCATCATAAACGCGCACCAACATGTACGTCATAATATTCATTGACATATGAATACATTCATCATA